GAGAAAGGAGCCGTAATGGGTCTGCAGGTGGAAGCAGGGAGGGAAGAGCAACCACCACATGAGGGTGCACCTGCTGGGACTGAGCTAATTCCTGAAACACCCAGCAGATGGTGCCAAAGTGGTGGGTGACCCCATGACACTGCCAATTATTTCTCATGCTGAATCAAATCTAGTGCCAGTTCCTTCTCTATAGTTATCATCATATTGTCACTCAACCTCCCGGGCCCTACGCAGCCTTCTTCAACCATCGCTGCATCTCATTTACTATATTTCAACAGATATAAAGCTTAAGTACTTCCAGAATGACCACTACATATCTGGGATCAAACTGGGCCCAAATATCTGGGATCAAAGAAGGATATTTATACAGTATGTATGTTGCAATACTTAGACACTACAGAAAGAACTAAGGGTGGAGTATTTGTCTTAACTCTGAATTTCCTAGTTTTGGAAGGGTTATAGCACAGCTTCAATATTTCATAAAAATCTGTTTTGCATGTGAGTAAAGGGGTCATTTACAAGTTTCAGGAAGAATGCATCATGGCAAACTAAAACAATTTCATGTATTTGGAAGTCAAAAGCGATAATGATCTGTACCACTGAGTACTATCACCATAACAGGCAGTAACTAAGGTAGAGGTAAAAATAAGGCAACTGAAGGCACGTAATTAAATCTTAAAGTCCTTAGTGCATTCTGCTCTAGTCTCACCAGGGGGACCCAGCTCTCCTCCATATACTGCACTGTGACTCCTTTGTGAAGGAATCGAGACCAGAATACAATTGTCAGTGATCTCCTGCTCCTGGGAAGGGGTGTGGATGTGTGTTGGGGGCAGGTTGGGATGAGGGGACAGACAGGGAGGGCAGAAGGCATGTCAAAAGACTCATAATAAAACAGCAGATTTTCACCAGTTAAAATCTTAACCTTACATTTTAATGCCCTTTAAAAATCTTAGCATTTATTTAGCGGGACAGGATCCCATTTCCCCCTCCGTTCATTTTACATGCAGATCAAGCGCAATACTGGCTTCAAGCAAAGTCATCCTCACTTCTGAATAAATCCAGATATGAAAATCCTCATTTGCACCTCCTTGCCTGGATCCATGTTAGTGTTTTCCTGACCACTCCTTCTAATAATCATCACTGGATTAAGAAATGGGGAAAAAAAAGGATACCATCTGGGGAAAAAACCAACCATACTAGTAAGATTTTCAGAGCGATAGAATAGTACAGCTATTGGAATTGTGTGACAGAGCTGGAGAGGGTTTATCCTACTTGACCTATTTTACAGCTCTCCCGGAGTCAATTCTATGCCGAGCTAAAAAGGCTGGCAGCCCCATGTGAATTTATACCTAAATGTTGGAAGTTTCCATGCTGTCATTAGCACCTGGTCACTGGATTTCATCGTCCTGTAGTTTCTGTACTAGGTGCTGTATACCAGTCGCAAGATCTCATTAAAATGTTGACATGGGGAATGACTGGCAGAACACCAACACTGCTTGGAAAATGGTTGTGTAATTCCTTTATGAAGTCATGAAGAATTACAGTAGTTAATACTTGGGGACAGGGAATCCTCCGTGATGGACAAACAGACATGGTGGGGGTATTAAAGTGGCAATTAAAAGGAAAGGCAGGAAGGAAAAAGGGTGAAGAATAAAAAGATTACTTGGAAAATGAGGCAGAGGAGAGACTTTACATAGAAAAGGAGAAATAACGGAGGAAAAGAGGAAAAAAAGGGTAAAACTTATGAATTTAGCAATCATTCTTTAAAAAGTGTGGGTGTGGCTAGAGGGAGGAGTAGAAAGAAAAAAAGAAGCAAAGGACAGTAATTGGTGTCACTCTCAGCTAGAGAAACGTCTTGTCAGGTGTGTCTGAGATCCAGACAGCCAGAAATGATACATGCACTCAGCACTGAAATGAGAGATGTACAGAGAAAGCCTCTTGATCTTCAGACAGGAGACTTCAGGGCAATAATTTTGGTAGCTAACCCACCCCTCTCCCACCACCGGAAGATGTACAGAAACCATGAAAGAAGCCATCAGAATCCTCACAAATCCCTAAAAGGCCTAGAGAGTCAAAAGATTAAAATAAATGTTTCTGCCACTGCAGGATGGCTTGGAAAATTAGAGAGAGGAAAGTAGATCAGAAATGCTTATGAGTTTTATGTGTAAAGCAATGGCACACGGGAGCGCTAACCTGCATTGTCATTCCTACCTCTCTGCTCAGTGAGATCACAACAACTTTAAAAGGCAGAGGCTTCATTCTTTTCCTCCTCCAGGGATGGACCTGAATTATTCCCTGCTGAACAAGCCTGGAAAGACATCCCAGGATAATACCATATAATTCCATTTCTGGACAAATCTGACTGCAACATTTTCTCCCTCCCCACTACAAAATTAGTGGAGAAGGAATGTGAGGTGATTATAAAATGACTATTAGTGGCGGATGTTAAATTTCAATTTAATCCTGTACTCTCTGAGAGATTAGCTCGTTGGGAAAATTGATTTCTCCCTGGTTTGCTCTTTGTTGCTGATGTATTCAGAAGATTATCTGCATTTAGCTGCCAAGACTGATTACATAAGGAAAAAAAATCATGTACAGTAGGTATGTGCGCATAAACTATACAAAGATACTCAGTCACAAAGCAAAATTTGTTTCAAACAAACCAGTTTGAGACTAGCTCATAAAGTATTGATGATGATGCCTCCAATAGCTTGGCACTACCTTAACACTATTCTGATTTGCTCCATTCTACAATGCCTGGATGGATATATGAGGTTTCATTCTTAACAGTAAACATACCAGGCTTGTGTAGATTTCTCTCTGGCTTTTAATATTATCTGAAAATAGTTTATTTTCTTTAGATATACAGGGGCCAAGTCACTTCTAAAAAAAGAATTTAGGCACTTTTGACCATTATGCCCATAATGTAAATATTCATTTGTGAAACATTCATACTCTACAATGGGGTGGGCAAACTTGGCCGGCGAACCTTTTAAGCCAGCTCATCAGTTCCCGCTGGGGAGTGGGTTCCGGCGCTCCAGCTGCGGCACCGGGTCAGGGGCCGCACCATGCGGCATGGCCCCACTCTGACACTTCAGCTGGGGCGCTGGGGCTTGGCCCTACTCTGGGGCGCAGGGTTGGGAGCCCCATCATGAGCTCCTGGAAGCAGCTGCATGGCCCCACTCCGGCGCTCTAGCAGGGTTGGGGGCCGCTCCACACGTAGGAGCTGGAGAAGGGACATGCCACTGCTTCCAGGAGCCGCTTGAGGTAAGTGTCACTTGGAGCCTGCATCCCTGAGCCTCTGCCCATGCTCCAACCCCCTGCCCCAGTCCTGATACCCCTCCTGCTCTCCAAACCCCTACATCCCAGCCCAGAGCATCGTCCTACACCCCAAACCTCTCATCCCCCAGCCCCACCCCAGAGCACACACCCCCATCAGAGCCCTCCCCCCCTCCCACACCCCAACCCCAATTTTGTGAGCATTCATGGCCCACTGTACAATTTCTATTCCCCGATGTGGCCCTCCGGCCAAAAAGTTTGTTCAACCCTGCTCTACAGTTTTTTGATTAACTACAATTTTGATTATCTGAGTGCAAGAGAGGACTAAAGAATTTTGAATAATTGTGGGAATTTTCAATATAATTAACAGACATCAAATGACATGATCTTGTTTCAGATGATAATTTTGGATCATTGAGGTTGCACTGTATATATTTCATATAAAAGTCACAAACCTTCAGGGCCAGATTATGCCTTTAAGGCACAGTCCCACATTGGGTGTCTGTATAGCTGGAAGGGGCTAGGCTGTTAACAGAAGCCACAGGAAGAATTGTGGTTGGTTCAGGCAGAATTCCTCCTGGAGCTCCGTAGCGTACACTTCAGCAAGAATTCTGCCATCTTTTAAGTGGGTGCATCATTACGCTTCCACACATGAGCACAACTAGGCTCTGCTGGCCAGTACAGAGCAGGCTTGGGCTGGTTCAGCCTTACTTCATGCCCTCTGTGGAGGTTAGTAATACTGAGGGTGCGAGCCCATCACACTCCCTTTGCCTACTGGCCATGCTGTGGCTGGCCTGTGACCAAAAATGCAAGGGTGATAAGACTCATTAAATTCTCTGATCTTGGTTGTCTGTCTAGGACCAACTATATAAAATGGCCCCAAATAAGTCATGTTCTCATGCCAATCAGGGACTCTAAACTGTATGTATTTTGCATCTTTGACCTTCTTATCTGCACCCTGTGTCCTCATCTAACTACATTAGGGCTACAAATATTATAATTCTAACATTCCAGTCCTCTCAGCCACTGTTTATTCTGCCTCATACAACTATCATTCTGTAGTTACCATGGCTCATTGTAACTAAGTCAACCCTCCATTTTCCAGAGCAGAAATATTTATATCAATAGCATATCTGATGAATAAATATCTTATAAAATAGTTTCTCTATGGCATAAAGATGATGCTACCCTACAAAAAAGTTATTAGTACAGTATTGTACAAGTTTGGGATTTCTACACACACATACACACAAACACGTGGCAGTGATACCCATATAATAAGTTACATTAATCATGCCCCTTTGACTACTTCACATACACATTGCCGACTAATCCATCTCCACTGGTATTATGTCTAACTTTTCAAACTTCTAAGCAATTTTAAACCACCACTATTTCTTTAAGTCAACTATTGAAAAAATAAATATCTATTTTATACCACAGCAGAGTTAGAAACCCTCCTTTTCAATAAGCTATAGCACTTTTATATTTTACATATACACTGAGGACAACTCTTCGATCAGTTCTAGTAATATATATGTCCCTTTCAGAACCAGAGACAAATCTCAGTTTGTGTGGCCTCTTGTGTTCTTTTGCATATGGTCTAGCGATTAAAAAATGTAACTTGTGGCAGAATTCTGACTTACTTACTATGACTTACTATGTGCCCTTGGGCAAGTCAACTAGAGACTGTCAAGACATTTTGTTAGGTGCAGACTTACCATGCGCAATGTAAGACATGCTGGGAGCAGTCTCTGCACTCTGGCGTTGGTGTGGCTCGATGTCCTTGTGTGGTGTGTGCGGTGGGGGCACTGAAGAAGATGCGGAGGAAGAGGAAGAGGAGGAAGAGGATGCTGGCTTGGGTTTGGAATGAAGGTCGTTCAGTTTTAGGAGGTTTTCAGAAGTCACAGTGTCTGGATTTACTGGTGTAGGAGGCAGTGTTGCTGGAAAGAAGCTCTCTTTATTGTCCTTTATATGCTTTGGGGTTGTTGGCGTTTCCCCTATGGACTACATTAAAAAAAGGAAAGATGGTGAGAAAATATGGCCTACTGAGCTCATATGTGTAACCTTATTGAATGGAAACTGCAAGTATTGTGGTCACTTGCATAATGCAAAAAAATAGCATCTCTCTTGTGCACATATATACTAACCATAACAATAAAATCTTCCCCCCAGGTGAGTATTTATCTTCCATACTTTACAGTTCATTTATCAAAGCACCACCTGGAGTACTTATTCATATTCACAGTTATAGTGCTCTAATTGAGCTGCTTTGTATAGAAAGCTCCTTAAGCATAATATACTCAGCGGAACTTTATTATTAAACAGGATGAAATTCAGGAATGTTCCAAACTCCTATGAATAGAAAGAAGCTCTTTCAATTAAAAAGAATTGCTGGCAAACTCTGGGTTTAATCTAGCAGATAGTTAGTGCTTTGGGAAGAATTGAGCTTCAAAACCCCAAATTATTAAAAGAAAATACTGTATGTAAGGCTATGAAAGAGAACAAAAGAAACGAGGAGATAAGAGAGTATTTATATTTGTAAAATAATAAAAATGTGCTTATTCTAAGTGATTATCAATTGTGGCAGCGAGCGAATAATGCTGAAGTCCAGCTTGAAATGACTGATCTGGAAGCACTCTTGCCTTTGGACCTTAATACGGAGGATAAAATATCAATACTAACAGCTGGGCTCTCGTCCCAAGGGCACAACTAAGAATCTGAAGCATTGCTACTAGTTACGTAACCAAGAGGTGGAAGAGTGATTTAAATTCACCAAGGAAGGGAAAGACAGCTCAAATAAAATAAAACCCCTCCCACATTCCATACCAATAGATATTTCTGGTCTTTAATGCTACAGACTACCTTTGTGTTCTTAATAATCTTCATTAATTCAGAATAAGTGGTAATGAACTGGCTAGACAGACTCCAAGCTGCTCACCTGTCAGTCTCATAGGCCCTAAACCACTAAAGTAAAAGGAGATTTATGTCCAGTTCATGCAGTAGGGCCTGTGCCTTTGGAGCAAGAAGATCAAAGTTCTATCTTTGCTACCAATGTTCTAAGGAACCATGGTGTCCTAGGTGTCTACAGATTTGCTACAATGGTGTGAGAAGCAGGGGTTGAACTCCACTGACAGAATCTGGAGTGAATTTGTACCAGAATATCTGTAATATTTAATACATTTAAAATTCAATACTGGAGAGCGCTCTTGGACCTATTTATACTTTGTGTAGTATAACTTCTAAAGTCACTTCTGTGTTATTAGTGCGTATATTTAATCAGTCGCAGTATTTAATGGATCTGGTTAAAATCTCACTGCCAATTAATTTTAAAAAAGCTGTTTTTACATCATAATTGCCATACTGGATCAGATAAGATCTATTGTGCCTCTAGCAATGTCCAGTTTCTGATGGTTTAGAGGATGTAAAAACTCATAACGCACCTAATTTATGAGATTCTGTACACAGAAGACAAATTTCCTGCATACATAATGTCCTAAATTCTGAAACTAGTATAGACAACTGAAGATGCTATTGACAGTCAAAGTTATCCAAATATTAAAAAATCCAGGCACACTATTAGTAATAAAAAAACCCTTACATTTATATAGGTAGTGAGCACAGAGAGAGGAATGAGAATGGAGGAGTGACAAAAAAAGAGGACAGGTAGGGACTAAATTAGTAAATGGATTGTAGGAGACACGCAGCTTATATGACTGGTGGGAAAAGGAGTGCATGAATACAAAGGTCAGAGAGAAGGAAAAGGCAAGATTTGGGGACATACAAGAGGTAAAGGAGAAAACAGATGGTGAGGCAAGAAGAAACAGAAAGAGAAAGGTACATGAAAGAGGAGTCACTGTCAGATTCCCATATAACACTTAATTGGAGCTTGAAGGAAACCACTGTGAAAGCTGAATATAGTAAGGTTTTTAATTGCAGATGAATGGGTGTGTAGGGCAGGGACTGAGATTTGACTGACATAATCCATGCATGTATAAAAGGCCAAATTCATACCTACTAAATCTGAAGTCAACCAGGAATATATTTGGCCCATTGTTTTTCAAGTTGTTCATTCATGTAAAATTTCAAGGTCTGTCTAATACTTTTTCTTGGCAGCCTAAGACTGCCAGGGTTGCATTCTAAGGAGGATGTTGGCATCCAATGGTGGCATAAACAAAAACATATTTCATGTGTACGTGGCCAGCACTGTGCAACATATGTTTCACTTAAATATTGCAGCCACTGTCCTGACTGAAGCTGACAGAGTGCTTGGGCATGAACAAAACCAAGATTCCAATTGTTAGTGTATAATGGAAACTATGGGTGTGCGAGTTGGAAAGGATTTAGGTATTCCATCCAACGATTGGTTACTTTACAGGGCAATAGTTTTTTGTAATAAATCTGAACTTTAGTAGATATGTGCACATGGGCAGTGAGTATTAAAGGCTGGGGAGGGCAGAGCCCCCCCAAACAGCCCTGCATGGCTCTGCCCCCAGGCCCACTCCTGCTTCCCGGCACTGTGCTGCAGGGGGCTCTTCCCCCGTGTCCAGGGCCCCAGGCTGGGGCTAATGGGGGCCATCCTGGGGCTAAGGACTCCACCTGGCGCTCTGGGGCACTGGAAGCTGTCCTGAGCTCCAGGGTTGGGGGCCTTCAGCGGGTGAGGAGGGGCCTCAGGCAGAAAGGGCAGGCCGGGCTAGGTGCTACCCTCCCTGAGGTTCACCCACTGCTCATTAATGTGCATGTGTGCAAAGTAGGGGTAATAATGCATCAGCACATGGCATTATCCTGTACTGGTACTAATCTGATAGCTCCATTAGTTTCAATATGATTTAAGGTTTTACTTGAAAGAATTTTCTCATCTTAATGGCTGTTAAGAAAACTTTCCAAATGTAAACTGGTGAAGGGCTGTCTTAGTGATTCTCAAGATAGAGAAAATCAGATCCCCTTCTCCAATGAAACAAACAGAGATGTTAGCAGGTGAACATAACCTTGATAACTTTCTTTGATGGTGAAAGTGGGGGTAAGGAGACTGTCTTAAAACAAAAAATCTCCCACAGTACACAGAAAAGAATCCTGGCCTTATCACTATATCCTTCCCCCACTGCAATTCCACTGTTGCCCTCTTGAGAGAGGCTGAAATTTATATGACATTTTATTGAAGTCAAGGAAGCTGGAATAGTATCAAAAATAACTGAGGAAGAATTATAATAGGTGTGAAGGATTACCTCTTTTGAAAATATTTAGTTTTTAGTGTGAAGACAAGAGTTGTGACACTTCTATATCAGCCACTGATGCCAACTTACATGCAAAGCAGGTGTGCATGATCCCACTAGCAGTAATACTTGTCAAGGTCTATGGGGCCACATGTATTTTAATGTCATGCAGGTGATTGCCTAGCAGCAAAAACACAGGACTATTACACTTTGCGTGAGAAACAGACCCGGAAGATACATAGTAGAGAAACTGACTTAAGTGCATCAGAACTAATGCATACCTATCTATTCTATCTATGATCATACTGCTGATCATAACCAGGCACGGTAAAGACAAGACACTGAGAAGGGCACCAGAAGGAGGACCAGTTTTCTACAGCACATTTGTTTTTAAATCAGGAGGGGGTATGATGTTCTGCGTGGATGAATGCATTCCATGTCTTTCTGGGGCTTGATTATTTCCTCCCCTCCCCATTCATCTTCAGTAGAAAACTGAGAATTAGTGTCAAGCTTCTACCCATGTTGTAGAACTGATCAATGACATTGTTTTTAATTGTTCACTTTATTAATATAACTTCATAAGCAAAGTTTTATGAATGAAATAACATTCATTCATAAAACCGGTTACCCCAATAACTGGCTGAGTTTCACTTTCAATCCAATTGCTGCTTAAATTGCTGAAACTTACATTGTTTCAACATTGTAACTTCTGCTCACTTTTTGTCATTCATATACTTGTCTATATTGTAACTCAAACTCCATTTTAACTTGTCCCAAACTCCATTTTAAAATACTCACTACATTTTGTAAAAGCTTGCTGCAACCTTCATTTTTGCAAACCCTGCTGTGACCTTATTAGTTTAGTTTAGATGTGTGAATGAGGTATGTATGGATGATGGAATCAACCTCCAGCCCCAGCCTGTCCTGATGAAATAAAGTGTAAACACCAACGGCTGAAGATGCAGACAACAGCCCTGACAAAGCAAGAAGAGTCCACCCTAAAAAGAAAAGAACAAAAATACAATTGAAGAAACATCAAAGTCAGGTCCTAGGCTGAAAGTCATGTCTGCAACTGACGGGTGATCAATCACACCGAACCCAGACACAGCGTGACACAGCAAGACCTATAAACTCTGGATTCAAACTAAAGCCTATAAAAAAGTATGGATGAGCTGGAAGACTTTGGAGGGTAACATTCTGCTGCCAACATGGAAGGGCATTCGTGCATGCCCAAGAGAGACCCAGCCCTTCCTTGTGCCCAGCTTTCCTGGCCAGTTAGCCGCCACAAGCTACGAACCCAAGCCATGAACTCAAGCTACATTCAGGACTGGTAACTATACAGCAGCTGCAGAACATATATATATATATATATATATATATAATGTGTGTGTGTGTGTACACGTACATAGGTATTAGATATTAGTTATTGGTCATAAATCAAATTGTGTTATTATAATAAATGTGACATCTTGTCTTGTCCCCTGAAACGACCCTGTGTAGTTTTGTCTGCATAACAATGTTTGATGTGGCTTCTATGAGGAGAATGTTCTACTGTACTTTGTTGTGGTACATAGAGTCAAAGCTCTGACTATTCTCTCCCAATCCATGGCAGGATGTAAACTTTCCCATTCTCACTGCCTTTAAAATTAATGTAAATGTGTTTTACAACGTGAAGAGGCTTCATGCTTTTTTCCATGATAAAGGTAGCAAGTTTCAGAGGGAACTGGTGTCTATGAGGAACTGGTACAGAAGGAGGAAAATTATCTCTCCTCTCATTCCCCCTCCGATCATTTT